TTGAACATTTTTTCATATGCTTGTTGGCCATCTGCATTTCCTCTTTGGAGAAGTGTCTTTTTAGCTCTTCTGCCCATTTTTTTGATGAGGTTGTTTATTTTTTGTTGAGTTTTGTCAGTTCTCTGTATTTTTTTGTGATCAGTCCTTTATCACTACTAGAAAAGTATATTTCTTATATTGATACTTAACTGATAAAAGTATTATTTTATCTATATATATTTGTAGCAGGCATGCTTTGCTAAAGGTGGCATGCTGGACGTTGAAATACAGAAGTGTAATATCTGACCTTCCCCTCAAATGTGAAACAGAAAATTGTGTGACATATACATTTGGGAACATACCAATAGAATGTAGAAATCACCTAAATGAATGGGTGTTAAGGAGGCTCAGAAGGTGACAAATTTTTTAAGTGGATTACATTGGACATGTGTATGTTTTTTTTTTAAATATCCAAAAGGGGAGCTTTATTATATAAGGAAGAGAAAAACAGAGAACGCTTGCCTAGATACACATGTGCAGAAAGGGCTGCCCTGAAAGGGGCAGGTTTGCTAAGAGAGAGGTCTGCGTGATCTCAGGCGGGCAGTCTTGAGGTGCTAACTCTGCTAAGGTGGAGGTGGGAGGGTCACTGAAGACAAGCCCCAACATGGTACAGGTGACAGGCAGGCAGGAAGGCTGCTGCCTTTCCCAGGGACAGAGAGCTGGTGAGAGGGAGCACGTGTGTAGGCACAGGTGGGAAAAAAGGACTGCTGCTGGACTTACATGTTTTTAATGTAGTTTTTCATTTTGGCTTTTCAGAAATACTTACAATATGAGTATGTTGAAAATAATAAAGACAACATTATGATGTATATTCAGAATTAAAATCATTTACATGTTCTATAAATCTTGTTATAAAAAGCTCTAGTTTATAGGTTATTATAAACCATTTATGAATTTTATTCTTAAGGTTGAGAAAAAAGTAGCTGTAGTATAAAAATGAGTTTATTCAGTAAACCCTCAGTATACTGAGCATTCAGATCATGACTGATGAATTTTTTAAGATAAAAGCTTACTTAAAGTAAATTGTGGAAATACATTTAGTTTTCAAAAATAGCATAGCTTTGGATATAGTTTGACAAATGTATTTTTACCAGTGTATGTTTCCTTCAACATCTGTCTTCATACTTTAAAGTTCTTCTTACTAGGTGAGATAATATTTGGTCTCTGTCATTGAGACTTTTTTTCAGGCTTTGGATTTACCAAACATGGGACATATAATTATGGATACATATATATTAGGGAATCACTTATTATTCACTTTGTTAGAATCAAGTGATTAAGTCTAACTTGCTCTCAAGGGGAGAGGAATGATGATATGCTTCTTGATACGCTTCATATGAACATATGAAGCTAACCATAGGGTCTTAAAGAAGGTTTTGTAATGACACAAAAAGGTGTCTTCAACCAAAAATGTATGCAAGTGCACAACTGGAGCATTTTTGAATATCTGAAAATTTGAAGCAGCTGATTTCATGGAGAATAATTTTGCTTTTAGCATTCTCTTTACTCCCTGAGTGTGTTGTTTAGTTACAACATTGTGATGAATACCTTACAATTTGTTGTCTCATGCTTTGTGTACATATATGTGTACATAAGTGTATGACCACACTGTTTTTATTTATTTTTGTTAGCTTGCATTTTATGCTGTAAGTATTGAGAAAGAGTAAGATACAAAATGGCACACAGAATAGTAGATTTTAGAGATGGATTCTAGGATCATTGACTAATAAAATTACACTTGACTCTTCTGGCCTCTTTTCAAATAATTTGTAAAACTGTATTACCAGAGTCAAACACAGTTTTGTTAGTCCAAGGTATCATTTATTCATTTTCTCACTTTCACTGTCTTACTGTTCTGCCTCTTCCATGCTTATGGTTTTTTTGGTCAAATATCAGATAAGCTATCTTTGAGAAAACAGTGTTGCAATTTGACAGAAATAATTCTTAATGGGCTCATCAACAATGTAGATAGTTGTGGTTGAATAAACTTAAATCTGCTTACCAGATTCATTACTTTTAAATAAATTGTAGATGAACAATTAATAAGCATTGAAAGTGAAGATGATGGGATTTTCCGAAGGAAAAATAATGCCACAAAAGGAAATCTTTTAGAATCCCCAGAGGTGAGTAATTTAGAAATCACCAGAAGACACCTTGCCTTTTTTTTTTTAACTTTCTGTCGGAGATTCTTTGTCCCAGATCACGGATTATTGGGGGGCAGAACAGGCATGGTCTCAAGGTGGGAATGGAGCTGGCGTCCTCTCCCTGCTACTTTATGGCATACTGTACTATACATCTTTGTGATAGTTTTCATATATATGACTTCAAAGGATCAGAATCTGGGAAAGGATGAGCTGTTAGCCGGCGAGCGGAGATTCCTAGAAAAGGGGAAAAAAGGGAAAAAAAAAGGGGATTGGGCATGAGGAAGACACGGGAATGGGAGTTTGGTGCAAGTCTTCCTGCCCATCTTTTTGCAAGTCTTTATTTATACTGTTTAGCAAGATTTAGTTAAATAATGCATCAGGTAAGTTAATAAGAAATCAGCATAAAAGTTTTAAAGGAAGAGGGGAATAATGCATCCTCTCCCTGCTACTTTATGGCATACTGTACTATGTGATAGCTTTCATAGATATGGATGTTTAACTATGACTTCAAAGGATCAGAATCTGGGAAAGGATGAGCTGTTAGCAAAGGATTTAGGAGTCCTAGGGAAGGAATAAATTGTGTTAGCAGAGTCGTCAGTGATAGTATAAAGAGAAGCTAATGGCTAACTTAAGGTTAGCAGAGAGTAGCTAGTGTTTGTTTTAGGAAAAGGTTAATTAAGACTAGCAAAGAGTTGTTAGTGATTGTTTTAGGAAAAGAGTAAATTAAGAAGTCACATAGTTATACATTAAGCAAAACCTGTGTTGATAGTGTTAGGAAATTGTCCATGGGTCCTTAAGCCCTAGGACTTATCTAAGATTCGCTTTTTGTCAAAAGACCAAGGAAGCTTTCCAGGAGTCTTGATGCTCCATGGTCTTATCTTTCCAGGAGCTTGCCTTTTGTCTTCAGTCAAAAGAATTTCCTGCCCAGGAGCAGCTCAGCTTGTACTTTCCTCAGGCCAATTTAGAGCTAAGGCAATCCAGTTACAAAGTGATGTTGATACAATAGTTTTGATATTATGATTATACAAAAAAGGGAGGTCATAACATAAGTTAGCAGTGGAAATTCTGATTTTTTAGAGCTTTTCCCGATACACCCGGAATCTGTCAGTTGATAGACGTTTTATAGCTTGTGTCAACTTTTTTTTTTTTTAAAGATTTATTTATTTGTGCATACAGAACTGGGTTACAGGCCAGAGGTGCAGGGGCAGTGAGAGGATTCACCAGAGACAGAGTAGGGAGCAGAACAGGCAGATCAATGAGTTACACTGCTGAGGGGAGCAGCGGGCGGGTCAGGAGAGGTCTGCCATGCTATGTGGATCACCTCTGGGGCAGGTGGGGATCAAACTCATGCTGAAGTGGCATTTGCTTCTTAGTGCTCTGCTTTAACCTGCTGTGCCACCAGGGAGGGCCCCCTCCCTTTTTTTTACCTTTTATTTTATCTACTTATCCACTTTATCTAGGATTCGAAAGACAGTGAAGTTGATTCTCCACTTTGTGCTATCAAAAATCGCAGGATTCCACGAAACAGAGTAAGTAAATTGTAGATATTACATAGTATAATTTCTTTTGGAATAAATATGACATGAAACATGTTTGTAGTTGAAGATGAGTATATTTGAGTTTTACTGGCCTATGATTAAGAGAGGAACTAGTAAGATCTATTTTATTTTTGTATTCCTTTAAATTCTATTCCTACTTTTGTCGATATACACAGCATTTTAGCAAATTGCCATTAAATACCTACTTAGTGTGCTGTTTTAGATCATCTACAATCTATCAAAGAGTCAGGTAAGTGATTTGTTTATATCTTTGGAGTTCTGGCTAGCTCTTTCAAAGTGATAATCTTAGTTAAAATGTGGTGGTTAAGCAAGAGAAGAAAGGCATTACCAAGAGGGTTAACAGCTTAAAGAATGACACAAAGTGGGAAATAGCATCTCTTTGTTACTGGATTGTAAGGTCAAAGTCTGCTAAGAATTGAATCTGGGGTCAATTTATATTTGGTAGCCTTTTTCTTTGATTTGTTTACCAAATGGGGTTGAAAGAAGGAAAGAAAGGATCCAAGATGACTCTGGTTTTTAGCTTGGCTTCTTTGGCAGATGTGACACAAATTGAGAGAACACAAGAGATGATAATTTCAGTGTTGACATGTTTAAGTTTGAGGATTTTGGGAGAAGTAAAGGAACAGTGTCTGGGAGCCATTGATGACAGTGTGAATGTGAAACTTGGATAGGAAAACAGGTCGTAAGGCTAATGATATTCATTTGTCATTAGCTTTTATATGATAGCAAAATTTTGAGATTAGGAAATCGTGTTTGATTTAACTGTCTAATACATTGTAGGATGATTTGTGTCAATTAACATTATAGGATGATTGTGTAATTAAAAATGCAATCAACCCATATTAATTTTCTATACTCAGGCTTCATTAGAAAAATTTCGGGCCCTCCCTGGTGGCACAGCTGATTAAAGCACAGCACTAAGAATCTAAAGCCACTTCAGCATGAGTTCGATCCCCGCCTGCCCCAGGGGTGATCCACATGGTGTGGCAGGCCTCTCCTGACCCACCTCCTACTCCCCTCAGTATTGTACTTCATTGATCTGCCTGTTCTGCTCCCCACTCTGTCTCTGGTGAAGCCTCTCACTGCCCTGCCCCTCTGGCCTGTACCCCAGTTCTGTATGTATAAATACATAAATCTTTTAAAAAAATAAAAATTACTAGTTACTTTAGAATATGTGTTTGATTTATCAGAAGTAAGCTGAAATATTAGTAATGCTGATTATCAGTCTGATTTAAAGTTATTCATGCTTTAGAAATTTATAGCAACCAGTAGTAGAATCAATATAACAAAGACTGGATATACTTCATATATAATCTTAACATGCATGTTTGATTTGGGTCAGCATCAGACTCATGCAGCAGTGACTGGTGATAGCTTTATAGCTCTGAGACTTTAACCCATTATACCACCAGAGGGGCCAGTGTTACCTGATTTTATAGACTCAAGTTTTGTGTATTTGTAATATAACTGAGTTATGAGAGCATTTTATTTTTCTTGTTTTTTTAAAAGATTGATTTATTTATGCATAGAGAACTGGGATATAGTCCAGAGGTGTGTGGGGGGGGGGTGAGAGGATTCATCAGAGATAGAATGGGGGCAGAACAGGCGGATATACCGAAATAACTGCTAAGGGGAGCAGCAGATGGGTCAGGAGAGGGCCACCACGCTGTATGGGTCACCTCTCTGGTCGGGGATTGGACTCATGTTGTAGTGGCTGTGGCAGCTTTGTAGTGTTGTGCTCTAATCTGTTGAACCACCAGGGAGGGCCCACATTTTATTTTTTTAATAAGAAAGTGGTAAGTCGTATATTTAAAATGAAATAAAAGCAATGTCCTTGAGAAATACATTAAGATACAACAATCCAAATATATCTTTCTAAGACGAGAATCTTTACTCAATTGTTACAGTTAGAATTATCATCCAGTGATGAAAGTGAGAATTTTCATGGACAAGATCCACAATTAGAAGACTTTAAGGACTGTGTGAAGAATACCAAAAGAGTCTTCAAAGTTCAGAAGAGACGGCGTCATCTTAAAGTAAGTTCTTTTTAGTTTCTTATTCTCATATGTAGAAAACATAATTTTTTATTTGTAAAGAACATTAGAGTCTGTGTAGTAGACCCCTCTAAATTTCTTTATAGACAAACACTCCCTCCCCCAAAATTAAAGATTATTTTATCACAATTTTACTTTATTTACTGGAATTTTGTTTCTCTTTACGTATTGGGACTGTGTAGTGTTGTGCTATTTTGAATGACTAAAGGATTCAAAATGAAAGAAAAAAGCCAAAAAACTGAGTTTTATAATATTTGCTTTTATAATCATTATTTTTCATATCAATTATATTCAAATCTTTGTAATTTGTAGCACATTATTTTCGATCAGTTTTTATATGGTACAGTCTTTTTCCTGGCAAAGTTAGTCACAAGACTCAAAGGACTTCATGCTTATTAAGAATTACTTAGCAAGATGACTTGCTGGTTTGTATTTTATTTTGATTAAACTTACTACAACAGAGGTGTTATTATCCAAAGAAATTTTAAATATGTATGCTACTTTCTCATTTTTCTATTTTTGTTAGTTTTGGTCTTAATAGCATTGGTGATAACTTCATTTCCAGAACTATTTCCAATTATTTAAGGTAGGTAAAATGATTTTCTTTAGTGTATCTTTATGTTTTCTAATTTGTCTTAGCTTGTAGCCAGGAAATTTTTAGATGATGAAGCAGAACTTTCCCAAGAAGATGCAGAATGTGTTTCGTCTGATGAAAATGAGTCAGAAAATGAGAAAGATTCCTCATTACTTGACTTCTTAAATGATGAGACTCAACTTTCACAGGCTATAAATGGTAAATGATGTAATGATGCTTTTTTTTTACTTCATTGCTTTCAATGTTATATGTAAATATGTTTTCAAAGAACCTTGACTTCAAAAGGAATTAAATATGGTGTATAACAATTCATCTTCATTTAAATTCTGTAATAATTTGTTTTAATTTAGACTTGGTTGTTAAAAGTCTTCTTTGACTATTTCTTTCCAGAATGTCCTGTTTATTTAATAACAAGTATTCAGTGTCTATCTACCTATTATTTTAGGTTTTTTAGAAAGCGAACAAATCTTGAAATTCAGTGAATGGAACTGACAAAAATCTCAATCCTTATGAAGTTTCCATCTAAATGGATAGAGGCAATACATTAATAACTAAATTAATGACTATATTTAAAGACTAAAAAATTACAGTGTTCTCCCAAGTGGGAATAAGTCTCAGGGCTTTTATCACCAAGGCCTGGTTTAGTACCTGCCAGGGAGTTGACCCACATGGTGCAGCAGACCTCTCCTGTCTCACCCACAGCTCCCCTCAGCAGTGTATTTCAGTCCATCTACCTATCCTGCTCCCCACTCTGGTGAATCTCTGTGCCTCTGTGCCCTAGTGCTATGCAAAAAAATAATTAAAAAAAAAATTACAGAAAAAAAAATTGAGAATGGTGAGTATTTGGAGTGGTCAGCTTGGGGGGTTAATAAAAGACAAGTTGCAGTCTTAAATAAGGCAATTTGGGGTACACCTCCTTGAGAAGGTGACAAAGAGTAGGAGGGGCCTGAGAAGTTTAGCTAGGCAAATTACTACAATTAGCTGAAACTCAAATTATTAAATTTGCCAACTATGGGCAATCTGCTTTTGGAAAATAGTCATTCCAAGCAATGCTTATAAAAGCTTTATAGTACATTAAGAGCAGATGGCTCAGATAGAAATAGGAACGATTCTGGTGGTTTTAGTAACTTGTTCTTCACAGAGCTTTCTATTTTCTTGTTCTTGTAGTACCTGACTCTATTTCCTAATGTCCATGACTTTATGAAAATAAAGTTCTTAGTACTGTTATTAAAACTGTTATAATTTGTAGAGTAAGTTTTCTTAGTGTTACGCTGTTGATGTTCATTAACAGAAGAAGATTTTGCTCCTTCACAGTATATCCTGGTGGGAGAATTTAATATAAAGATGAAGGCCCATGGAAAGTCCCTGAGGCAGGTCATGCTTGGGCATATTCAGAGAATTGTACTGTGAAAGTGCATGAGGAAGAAGGGGAAGACTAGGTAGTGAGCAGCCAACTTATGATTTGACTTCCTCTCAACTTTTTTGAGAAAGGCCTAAGGGGGTAAAAGGTAGAGTCCACTTAAGAGTCTGTTGTAGTAACCAAATCAAGGAACAATAGTGACTTTTAACATGGTGGTGGTAGTGAAAATATGAGAGTGATTGGAATCTGGATAGTGTTTGTAGTGGCAATGATTTTCTGAAGTTTATTTTTTTAATAGTTTATTTTTACATCATTTTGTGCCCTTTTCCCCGTGGGCTTCCCATCACCAGATCATCTGTGTGCCATGACCATAGTCCATTGCACTCCCCTGCTATCCCCCTGTGTTTGATCTCATTCCCCACTCTACCCCCATAAAATGTCTCTGATATATAGTTGTTCATCATCATCATCATTTTTTCCCCTAGTCCTTTATGCTCCTGCTATGAGAGAAATCATCCAGTATTTTTCCTTTTCTTTCTGGCTTATTTCACTAAGCATGATCTTTTCCCCTCCATCCATGTTGCTGCAAAAGACATGTGCTTCTTCTTCTTTTTTTTTTTTTTTGGTTGCTGAGTAATATTCCATTGTGTATATGTACCACATGTTTTTAATCCAGTCATCTACTTTTGGTTGATTCCATGTCTTTCCTATTGTGAATAAAGCAGCAGTCAACATGGGGGTACAGGTATCTTTTTGAATCAGTGTTTTTGTGTCTTTTGAGTAGATACCTGGGAGTGGGATTGCTGGGTCATAGGGAAGCTCCATGTTTAGCAGTTTGAGGAACCTCCAAACAGTTTTCCCTACTGGTTGTACTAGTTTGCATTCCCACCAGCAGTGCAGGTGAGTTCCTTTTTTTCCACATTTTCGCCAACATTTGTTGTTACTAGTTGTTTGAGGATGTGCCATTCTCACTGGGGTGAGATGATATCTCATTGTGGTTTTAATTTGCATCTCCCTTATTGCAAGTGATGTCGAACAATTTTTCATGTGCTTATTGGCCATCTGCATTTCCTCTTTGGAGAAGTATCTTTTTAGCTCTTCTGCCCATTTTTTTAAAAAAAGATTTATTTATTCGTACAGAACTGGGGTACAGGCCAGAGATGCGGAGGGTGAGAAGATTCACCAGAGACAGAGCAGGAGCAGAACAGGCAGATCGACGAAGTACACTGCTGAGAGGAGCAGCGGGCGGGTCAGGAGAGGTCTACCACGCCATGTGGTCACCTCTGGGGCAGGCGGCAATCGAACTCATGGCGAAGTGGCTTTAGCTTCTTAGTGCAGTGCTTTAACCTGCTGCCCACCAGGGAGGGCCCGCTTCTGCCCATTTTTTAATGGAGTTGTTTATTTTTGTTGAGTTTCATCAGTTCTTTGTATATCTTTGTAATCAATCCTTTATTGCTAGTTTTGTGTGAGAAATTTTTCCCAGTCAGTGGGATATGTTTGTTTTTTGTAATGTCTCTTTTGCTGCACACAGAATTTTGGCTATTTGAAGTCTTTTGTGGTTCCATATGAGTCTCATCAATATTTGTTCTGTTTCTTTGAAAAATGTCATTGAGACTTTTATTGGGATAGCTTTAAATCTGTATATTGCTTTTGGTAGGATGACCATTTTGATGGTGTTAATTCTCTCAATCCATGAGCAGGGGATGTCTTTCCATTTCTTGATGTCTTATATTTCTTTTAATAGTGTTTTGTAGTTTTCTTTGTATAGGTTTTTTACCTCTTTTGTTAGGTTGATTCCCATGTATTTGATTCTTTTTATTTTAATTGAAAAGGGGATGCTTCTTTTTATTTCTCTTTCTTCTGGCTGGTGTTTGTGTATAGGAAGGCCTCTGACATGTTTCAACATGTGTTTGTGTATTAATTCCATAAGATTTAAGTCATGTGAATTTGGAATAAATTAAACTTAAATGTTAGTTTTCATTTAAATGACTTTTTCTACTTGAAATACTTATTATCTTTACACAGATTCTGAAATGAGAGCTGTTTACCTGAAATCTTTACACAGTCCACTGATGAGGAATAAATGTCAAATCATTCGTAAGAATCATAACAACATAAACATTTTCTCACAGGTATGGAGAATTTCTTGATCATGATGTTTTACTGTGTTCCTATTAATGAGGCCTTCATTTTATTTCTGAAATTGGTCTTTTAGGAAATTTGGGATAATTTCTGTTCAGTCAAAAAGGTAGACTAAATAAATTTTTAAAAAATCCCTTGTAGGGGCCTTCCCTTGTGGTGCAGTGGGTTAAGACACAGCATTGCAAGCTAGCCGCAGCTGCTTCAGTGCAATTTCAGTATCTGTCCTGGAGGTGATCCACGTGGGGCAGCAGACCTCTCCTGACCTCCTGCTTCTCCCCTCAAAAGTGTACTTAGGGGATCTGCCTGTTTTGCCCCCTATGCTGCTGCGTGTGAATCTTGTACTGCCCATGCACCTCTGGTCTGCACCCCAGTTCTGTATGTCTAATAAATAAATACATCTTAAAAAAAAATCCCTTTTAGGGGCCTCCCTGGTGGCACAAAGGGATTTTGCCTCAGGTCTATGAAGTTGTCAGCAGCCATTGCAACACTATTTCTATCCTCAGCCAAGGGAGATGATCCACATGGCACAGCAGACCTCCTGTTCCCCCCAGCAGCGTACTTTAGTCAGTCCATTTGTTCTGTTCCCCAATCTGTCTCTGGGGAATCCTCTCACCCCTGCACCATCCGCACCTGTGGCTTGCACCCCAGGCTAAATTAATAAATGAACAAACAAATAAATAACCAAATAAATAAATTAACCCATTAGTCCTAACTTGATCAAATTATTCATTTAAAAATTTGAAGCTAATTAGAACATGCTCCTAAATTATAGTTAGGAGAATGTTTAAAAGAAGTAAATAGAACTTCATCATCACTAAATTTTTAATTCTTATACTTTTTAAAATTAAAAAAGTTTTTTTAAATAAAATTTCATATTGTAAAATTGCAGGTAATTTTTCTTTTATAGATAACACTTTCATGTTAGTCTTACTTTCTTATAAATTGCGATGTTCAGTTTGTTAACATAATTACTTATATAAGTCTGCATTTCCATTTCATTTATTATATAGCACTTAACACATTGTTTGTAAATAAATTACATTATCATAGTATTACTATTTATTTTTATGGCTCTCTGCACTAGAATATAAATTTTTAGAGGGTACATTTTTCCTTTTTAATCCCTCAAGTTCCCATTCTCTTCCATAAATATATATTATTTGAACAGATAACTGGATTTATAAGCCGAGTGAAATAAGTATTGACAAAGATGTCATGTACTTGAAAGAATACATGCTGATTTTAAGAAAAAATTGTAATACTTATATTTTTATTATAGATTCCTGAACAAGATGAAACTTATTTAGAAGACAGTTTTTGTGTTGATGAAGAAGATTCCTGCAAAAGCCAATCAAGTGAAGAAGTCTGTGTTGATTTTAACATAATTACTGAAGATTGCTTTGTAAATGGGCGTAAAAAATATGAAACAAGACGTGCAGCAAAGCTAAAACAAATGAAAATGAGCGAACAATATGGTGGTTCTAAAAAGAAATTATCCCGGATTATTTTACCAGATGACTCAAGTGAGGAAGAAAATGATACAAATGAAAATGAGACAAATGTTAATCCTAGTACTGATGATAAGTGCAAACAGCAAAATCTTTGTTTGAATTTAGTGTCTTCTGAGTCTGCTTGGCAGTCCAAAAACTATTCAGATCCACATACGAATCAGCTGCCAAAGCAGAGGCAACATACACTACTTAATATAAAGGATACAGCTTCCGATGTCTCAGATTTCAAACATCAGAGCTGTAATAAAATCAAAACTACCTCATCATCATTCTCTACTGTTGATTCACAGAAAGACTGTAGAAAATATCCAGATCACTCAAAGGTATGAATCAAATTATTGGGAAAAATCTTATGTTTATTAAAAGGTTTTTTTTTTTTTTTTTTGGTTTGCTGTCTTTTTTCGTTAAAGGGATGTAGGAAAGTGGACCTCCTGCCAGGTAAAATGAACAGAGATGACTTGCTCAGAACTAGTTCCTAGATTAACTTTTCTTCCCTCTGCTTCAGATACATAATTAATCCCTTTTGGGGGGGACAGGCGTATAGGGCCAGCACCTCATTTCCTTCCTTCCTCTCTCCTTCTAGAATGGCTAGAAAGTCCAGTTTTCAGCTTTTTCCTGCCTTGTTATTGCTGAAATAATCTGTAAAATCATTTTACTTAAGAGTTTATAGTTACAGTAATAAAATAGTGTTTAATTAAAGTCATAGTAATGTTGGCTCATTTACTTGTTATCTTGGAGTTACACCTGGACCTATATTTTTATTTCTTTTATTTCAGTTGTTTCAGTCCTTTTTGCCTTGGTAACAGGTTCCAGTGTTCACATAATAGTCCTCAATGGTGTTTCCAGTTTAAAATTGCTCATTTCTTAAGATACAAATAACATAAAATTGGTTAAATTAACTTTTATAATGGAGGACAGAAGTATACTTAATTTCTCAGAGCCTTTGTATACCCAGTTGTATTATAAATTTATAGATAGTAATTCCAGAGGTCAAGGTAGGTGATGTATGTACAGTATTAAAACCTGTAAGCACTATTACATTTCCACTTTGGCATGCTCTCACTGAAAAATAGGTTATGTATGTAATACTTTGAGGACTGAAAAAGGTAAATAGATTTTAAGAGAAATATATTTAAAGGTTCATTAGTTAATCCTACAATTCCATACAATATGATTTCTCTCACTTAAAATTAGGAGAGGAAAAAATCTGAGTTAATTTAACAAGACAGCAAATAACTGTCCTGTCAAAAACTTGTCATTTGTCTTTTATGTATAGTAATTTTTGATATAGAAAAAAGTAACTTTTAAATGCAATTCTAATTTTCTTCTGTATATTTTCATGTTTTAGTGTTATACAAATAGCTGAATCACTATTTCCAATTCTTTTGGACATATACCTACTACTAGAAATCTTGGTCATATGGTAATTCTGTAAATTTTTTTGAGGAGTTACCACTGTTTTCCAGTGGCTATACCATCTTACTTTCCCACAGCAGTTATGTGTCACAGTTTTGTTTTTATATCATTATCAACATTTCTTTTTTTTTAATTAAAGCTACACTAAGTGTGAAGTGATATCTTAGTCCTTCATCTACATGTCATCTTCATGTTGAAGAAAGAAAGATTATTAAAAAAAATGAGAAAGTGTCAGTAGAGAAAATCACCTTTAGGTGTTAGAAGTGTATATTAGAAGTGTATAATAGTTTATTTTGTAATCTCAGTTGTAATCCCTGTGGGCTCCCCACTATCAAAACACCAGTGTGCCAGTGCACTTCTCCCCCCCCACTGTTTTTGATTCCATTCCCCATTCCACCCCTGTAAAATGTCTCTGGTATATAGTTGTTCATTATTATTATTATTTTCTTGCCTGGTCCTTTGTACTCCTGCTATGAGTGAAACCATCTGGTATTTTCCCTTTTCTTTCTGGCTTATTTCACCAAGCTTGATCATTTCCAGCTCCATCCATATTGCTGCAAAAGGCTTGTGTTTCTTTTTTTTGGTTGCTGAGTAATATTCCCTTGTGTATATGTACTATATCTTTTTAATCCAGTCATCCACTTTTGGGCATTTGGGTTGTTTCCATGTCTTTCCAATTGTAAATAAAGCAGCAATAAATATGGGGGTGTAGGTGTATTTTTGAATCTGTGTTTTTGTGTCTTTTGGGTAGATACCTAGGAGTGGGATTGGTGGGTCGTGTGGAAGCAACATTTTTGATGCTAATATTTTTTAACCTGATCATGACACCTGTTTCCACTTTTTTAGGTTGTTAGTGCTCCCAAGGACTCTAGCACTTCAATGGCATCTTGTTCCAACTCAAGACCACATTTGGCTGGCACACATGCTTCTCTTAGACTTCCACAGGAAGACCAAAAAACTTGTATTCTTGTAGATACTCGAGAAATCACTTCTGGTTCAGAAGTAATTTCTTCCCTAAGAGCAATTCATGGCTTACAGGTGGAGGTTTGTCCTCTTAATGGTTGTGACTACATTGTGAGTAATCGCATGGTGGTAGAAAGGAGGTCGTATTCTAAGATGTTAAATGGTGCCGATAAGAACAAATTCATTGACCAGATCCAGTACCTACGAAGTATGTTTGAAAGAGTATGTGTGATTGTGGAAAAGGACAGAGAAAAAACAGGTTTGTGTTTTAAATTTTTTTTAAGACCTATAAAAGAACTTTACTATTCATTCTCCTTGAGGAGTTGAGAAGCTCCTAAAATATAATTACCCGACTTATGAATGTCATTTCATATTTATATAATATCATGTTCATTAGTCTTTATTTTTTAATGCAGTTTATGAGGATTAAAAGATGGGCGATAGAAGACTTGCGAACCAATCATTAGTCTTTTTCAAGAGCCCCAAAAAGGAGGAGTACCTTAAATAAGACAGCATTGGGTAAAAGAAGCAAGATACAGGCAGTTTAGGGGGGTTAGCATGAGCTGTTAAGAAATCAAGAATCACTCCTGATTTTACCAGTTTCTTGGTCATTGGTCAGTTAGGTGGTATGCAGTTAAAATTACCTATGTAAGAGAAGCAGCAGATTTGAGGGACAAGGGTGTTCAATTTAGAATATGTTCTCTCACTAAGTAGATGTCTAAATGCATTTGAAATACAAGATTGGAGCTGTAGGTGGGGAAGTTCTATGGGTGATGTTTGAGGAGACCCTGAGAATAATGACAAAGTCATGGGCTATGGAATCAGAAGATACACTGAGTTCTGGCATGATGCATTGTTATGTTCCACTGACAAATCACTTCCCCTGAGGAATTAGTATTAGGAATTTATATTTGTTCTACTCATGTTATGAGGATTGAGTGAAATCATACAGATGAAAGCTACAATGGAAGAATCGAAAACTTGTAATTATTTTAAGGAAACAGTATACATGAAACTGTCGGAGACCAGCTCCAACTTTTTAGGTTGCATAGCTTGTTATGAAACATTGGTTTTTGGATGGGGCAACACATCTTTTTATCTCATGCTGTCAATGGGGAATGGTTATATCACTTTTTCAGATTTTTATTTTAAAATTTGATATAAAAGCTTTAGGTCTTGGGTCCTCCCAGTGAAAAAATTTTGTAATTTCCTTTTTACCAACCTATCCTTTATAAAGAAAATAGATTTATTATAAAGAGGAAAGCAACATAGTAAGTTCTGGAAAAGTTCTTTATTTTTTGGTATAGTGAAGAATGCCAAAATATAATATAGGTAGAATATAAACCAAAAAAAAAAAAAAGTATAGGAAAATAATTTAAAGATGATATAAAGTATGTGCAGGGCATTGAGTTTTCTTTGGCTAAATACATATAATTTTATATTAGCTAAACTGATACTTAATGAATCTTGCATCTGTGAGAGCATTAAGAATTTTAGACATTAGCAACAGGTAAGGTCTTGGCCTTCAGGAAAGTTTCATCTAGGAATATAAGATAAGCTCTTCCCTGCTTATTTATTTTTCAATATTGATTATAATTCAAGACACTTAAGACAATTCTCCAAATTTTCTCTCAGGTAATTTTGAGAATCAGTTTCAATCTGTAGCTGTAGTTTTTCTTAGCCTAATATGACACTGGTTTGCTTAATGGTATATAGATCTTAGGATTTTAATATATGGTATTAATGTTTCTGCTTATTGTAAGTTACTAAGGTTTTCAATTTCTAAACTATTTAGGAGTTTCTTCCAGAATGTTTAAGAGAACAAAGACTTACGACAGCCTGCTGATTACTTTAATTGGTGCCGGAATCCGAATTCTCTTCAGTTCCTGCCAAGAAGAAACTGCAAATTTGCTAAAGGAACTGTGTTTAGTGGAACAAAGAAAGAATAAGGGTATTCATGTTCCAATAGTGGTGAACAGTAATAAATGTGAGGCTCTTCAATTTTACCTAAGCATTCCCAATATAAGTTATATAACAGCATTAAATATGTGTTACCAGTTTTCTTCTCTGAAAAAGATGACTAACAGGTATGTCTACTTTGATGTTTTTAAGTGGTTATTTTAAAATGAGTCTTAGAAGCATTTCATAGAATTTTTAAAAAAATAGAGATACAGTGCATATTTGGTTATCTCATGGTTGCTTGCCAACATGTATAAGTCACTGATTGAAGCTGCAGACATTAATGAGGAAAAAAATAGGCATTGCCTTTCAGGAGCTTAGAGACTTAGCGGAACTCAACAACTAGCATTTATATTCTAACATTTCTGGGCTGCTTAGTTCTGCTACTACGAAAATGTTGAAATTAAAATATTTCTAGTTTATGGTTATTGTACAATGTTACATGAAAAGGAAAGGAATGTTTTAGAAAATATGTTAATTTTAATTAAAATTCCATGTAAAATGTTGAAATTATCATTATATATGATTTTTAAGTACAGGGGATATACTTTTTATTTAAAATATACTAAAGATATATTAATTAATGCAGAATACTTAGAAAGAGGTAACTTCCTTTTTTTTTAAGATTTATTTATGCATACAAGAACTGGGATACAGGTCAGAGGTGTAGGGAAGTGAAAGGATTCACCAGAGACAGAGTGGGGAGCAAAACAGGCAGATTGACAGAAATACACTGCTGAAGGGATCAGTGGGCTGGTCAGGAGAGTTCTGCTGCACCATTTGGGTCAGCTCCCTGGCTGGGGCATGAACTTGTGCTGCAGTGGCTACGGAGAGCTTCATAGTGCTGTGCTTTAACCTGCTGTGCCACCAGGGAGGGCCCGAAAAAGATAATTTTCTTAAACCTTTTGTGGTTTTATTTTTCTTTAAAGATTTTATGTACTTATTTTTTCACTGAAGAACTGGGGTGTGGGCCCAAGACATGGGGATGAGAGGATTCACCAGAAACACAGTGGGGGGAACAGGCAGATTTACTGAAATACACTGCTATGGGGAACAGTGGGTGAAAAAGAAAAGGTCTGCTGCCCCATGAAGGTCAGCTCCATGAGTTGGGATCACACTCATTACCATTGTGGTAATGGTGGTGAGACTTAACCCTTAGGCCAGCAGGGAGGCAGTTTGGTATTTTTCTTTTTGCATAGAAGAACTGGGATATAGGTCAGAAGTGCTGGGGTTAAAGGATTTGCTAGAGACAGAGTTGGGAGCAGAACAGGCACATCTATTGAAATACACTGCTGAGGGAACCCCAGGCAAGACAGGAGAGGTTTGTGAGTCTCTTGTGGGTTAGCTCCCAGGCTGGGGATCAAACTCAGGCATAATAGTGATAGAGCTGAGACTTAACCCCTAGGCCACTAGGGAGGCCCCTGTTTGGTGTTCTTTTAACAAAATTAGTAAGTTCTATAGTGAAGGAAAGGATAAAAAGCCTGATTAAATCAAATTAAAGAGCTTCTGTACAGCAAGAGACACTGCACAAAGCAAAAAAGACACTTCACTGCATACAATACTAATGACAAAGGACTGATCACAAAGCTATACAAAGAACTGACAAAACTCAACAAATAAAAAGTGAACAATCTCATCAAAAAATGGGCATAATAGCTAAAAAGACGTTTCTCCAAAGAGGCAATGCAAACAGCCAACCGACATAAAAATGTTCAGCGTCACTTGTAATAAGGGAGATGCAAATCAAAACCACAGTGAGATACTATCTAACACCAGTGAGAATGGCACATCTTAAAAAACTAGCAACAATAAATGTTGGCAAGGGTGTGGAGGAAAAGGAACTCTCCTATACTGCTGGTGGGAATGTAAACTGGAGCAACCACTATGGAAAGCTGTGTGGAGGTTTCCCAAACTGCTAAAATTGGAGCTTCCATATGATTCATCAATTCCATTCCTAGGTATCTACCTAAAAGACACAAAAACATTAATTCAAAAGGACACCTGCTCCCCTATGTTTACTGCTACTCTATTTACAATAGGGGAGATGTGGAATCAACCCAAATGCCCAAAAATAGATGATTGGATTAAGATGTTAGACATATACACAATGGTGTATTACTAAGCAATCAGAAAAAGACAAACTCATGCCATTATGTCATGGGTGGAGCTGGAAAAGATCATGCTTAGTAAAATAAACCAGAAAGAGAACGAAAAATACTGGATGGTTTCACTCATAGCAGGACCAGGACGGCATACGAGATGTCGAGCAGTGACTGGAGTTCAGACGTGTGCTCTTCCGATCTCTACCACATGGTGCCAGTGTATATATATACATTGATTATAATAATAAAGTAAAACGAGTACCAACTAATAACTATAAACCAGAGGCATTCTACAGGGGAGGAGAGGGGAACAAGATCAAAACTGGTGAAAACTGGTGGGAAGAGCACATGAGACTATGGTGATGACACACAGGTGAAGTGGTGGGAACCCACAGGGATTATAACTGAGATGAAAAATGTACAAAATGAATGATGTTATATATATATATATATATGAATTATTAAGTTCTGATGTGATGGTTTTCTTTTTTTCAGTTCACCTCAAGAAATTTCCACATATGCACAAGTAACTCATCAAAAGGCTGAGGAAATCCATCAATATATTCACTATGTATTTGACATCCACATGTTACCAAATAGTCTGAACCAAGGTAGACTGAAACTAGATGCATGATCAGATTGTTCAAGATGCAGCTTTCCAACTCATAATATGGAATTCCCTTCAATAATTACTGCAGTGGTTTGTGATGATCAGTTTAAAATATGTAAACAATGTTTCTGTATATATTATTTTGTATGATTTACAATTTTGTTATTCAAAAAATTTGAAGTTCAGTAATCATTTTTAGATATAACACTTTTATTGAATAAAGTAAGGTTTTCTGAGGTGCTATTAAGTAAAAGTTGGAATCAGAGATGTATTTTGGAATTTTCTAAAGATTAAAGTGCTGTCACTCAACTATTAACATAATTGTTGTGTTGAACCGCTGTGAAGATGATCATAGACAATTTTTCATATATATTTATAAACTATATATATAGCATATATATGTATCTGCTGTGAAGATAATCATGATTTTTCATATATATATATATATAAACAATATTACCTAGAATTTTTCAAATGTCCTGAATCTATATACATGTTGGGTACGATATGGGTGGTAGGTGTGCTGTGAGATAAATGACCCAGTAAATAGGAAGGTACACAATTTTTTTTTTTTTAAAGATTTATTCATACCGAACTGGTATACAGGCCAGAGATGCAGAGGGTGATAGGATTCACCAGAGACACAGTGGGGCGCAGAACACGCAGATCTATGAAGTACACTGCTGAGGGGAGCAGCGGGCGGGTCAGGAGAGGGCTGTCGCAAAGTGTGGATTACTTCTGGGGTAGGCGGGGATCGAACTCACGTGGAAGTGGCTTAAGCTTCTTAGTACTGTGCTTTAACCAGCTGCGCCACCAGGGAGTACCCGGAAGGTAGAAAATTTTAAGTGCACATATTTTCCAGTTAAGTAGTCAGATCCCTAATGAACTACAACCTATATTACTTTTTTGTTGTTGAAATATACACAAAATAATAATATATTGGCTGGGGCTATGAAAATTTCTTTATTGCATGTGGAACCTGCGCCCCATTACATGGTATCTGTGATTCTTTTTCAAAATAGGCCTTTATATTATCTGCAGCATCTAAGACTTTTATAGTCAGTCTAGTTCTTTTAATTTTGGACTCCCCTCCAATTATTTTGTCTGGCTGCCTTATTTTTTTCTGTTGGGTAGTAAAATAACCTGACAGCAGAGAACTTTGCTTCCCTTAGATTTCATTGGGAATTATGAAATCATCTCACTTCAATTGCTTTTTTCTTTTCTTATTAGATGATAATTTTAAGCCCAAGAATAAGTGACTTATTAAACTTTAGACTGGAAAATCTAGGACCAGAAGCCAAGATACAGATTTCTTTCTTAAGAAGTACAGTACTCTTTCACTAAAAGATTACTTTGGTGTGAACTTAGCTCCTTTGGAGACTATTACATTTTCAATTTTTCTGAAAGTAAATTTGTATTTTTGCTGTTCAATAATTATCAAAGCTAGAGCGAAAAGAAGTAAGTTTTTGGCTGGTGTGCTGTTTAAATTTATCCTTCTGTATCTTGCCTTTACCATAATGGATTTTTTGAGCATTTTTCCTACAGGGAGTATGATTTAAGCTTTGTCAGTAGGAGATAAAGGGCTTCTCATTCTAGGCTCACAATTTCTTGTTCCTACCACATGGTGCCAGTGGCATGTGTGGGTGGGGACATGTGGCAGTATTCTGTCTCAACTGCACATCAGAAGTACATAGCACCTCAATGCACCAACCTGGGCCAATGAGCACCTTATATTTTACATGCAGACACTAACACATTGGATTTTCTGTGTCGTCCTATCAGAAACATATTTCATAAATTAACATAGTGTAAAGGATGTAACCTAGGGATTTAATTTATGCTTGCTCCATGGAGAGGACTCTATCCATATGTAAGCTGTGAGAGCTTTTTCTATAGTTTCATGTGCTGCTCTTATAACTGTCACACATATTGATGACCAGACCTTATTGCCTTTGAGTCCTTAATGTATTTCTTTCCTAATTTTAAGTGTGGAGGTAAACGTAAGCCTTACTGGCATATCTTTTGACTTCATGGCAAGAAATGGAATTAACCAGGTACTTGGCAGATGGGATGTAACAACAGATTCTGAAGGGGTTCAGATAGGACACGGGGACTATGGTGAGTAAGGGGGTCATGTTTGATTTATGTTAAGTCTGTGCCGATTCTTATATAATTATACAAATTATCTTCAAACTTCTAAAATAGTATCCATCCATTAACATAAGTAGCATGGTAATATATACACTAATTATTGACAATAATAACTTTACAATAAACAGTCATGGTAGTTTAAAAGAAAATGACCTCAATATAACTGCAAATATTCTTTTGAAGTCTTATGTTTCATAATTCCTATTGTTATATAACTGCTGATTATTACTAAAATTCTTAAGAAAAATGTGGTTTTTACTAAAAGCTCTATAACTTTTGAGGAAACCAATTGAATTAGTAATATAAATTTGTTTTCTATGGTCCAATCATAAAAAAAATCAAAACCTCAAAACATAAAGATTAAAGGCAAACAAGCTTTATTTGAACAATTCAGCTGAAGAGAAAGGGTAGTAAATAAGTACTATAAGGATGGGAATATATTCCATGTCAAAATTTAAAACATAATGGCAGGAAAAAAGCTAAAGTTAGTTTCTTTCTTTTACTAAGAAACATGATATGTCAACTTGAGGCCTTACAATGGTAGGTTTATTACTAATCCACTCTTTTTAATGTTGAAACCAAATTTTTCTACATATACAAATAGAGCTTAAGAGTGCAACAAAATCAGTTCTGATTCTACCTAATAGTGAAAAAGCAATCCAGTAAATTTATTTAGGTTTCAAAGATATGCTAGTCACAAGCTTTATAAAAAACAATCAGAGAAAGCACATCAGTTTCAACAATATGTAAATTTAACTATGAGATCAACTGGCTTGTATACCAAATGGTGACAAATGTTAACAAAGTCTTTATGAATTCAGCAGCCTTTATTCTCCCCTTCCTCCTTAAGGAAAAGTAACATTTTGTTGAAAATGTCTTAAAGATCTATTTGGAACATGATTTTTTTAAAAAAACAGACTTGGATGCTTATAAATACTTATCTGTATATTTTAATAATGTAATAACAGAAATTTACAAATATCTATATAGACAAAATAATTTTTATACATTTTTAGTAAGCTGCAGCAATGAGAAAGAGATATTCTGTGGAAAGATAATTTACTTTGAATACAAATACAGAAAAACTTTGAAAAGGAGTCTACAATTTCATTTGAAGCTGTTAACAAAGAAATACACTTCAAATGAAAATATAAGTACATTGCTTCTTGATAAAAATATGGAAATATTCTCAATTTTACTATGCAGAATCAGAGTTTGAAAAATAATAATCTTTCTCTTCTTCATCTAAAGACTCCATAGCATTAGTGAAAAGTTTTCCAATACCAGAGTTTTCTCCTAATTCTGTAAAGAGAATTTGATAAGGTAAATACATTTCTAAAAGTAACTTCAATGAAACTGAAATAACTCAAAACCAAATAGTATGTCTGCTCACTTAAGAGCAATTAGTTTTAGCAACATCTTACTAAGAGATGACCCTATAATAAAACACACACAAAATAAAAATAAAAGCATATTACCTTTGTTAAATGAGGTTTTTCTTGAAGTTGGAGTTGAAAAATCATTTTCAACCTGCAAGAGTTCACATTTCATATCAACAGCTAAATAGTACCTCGAACCCAGACAAAACTAAGCATGCTTTATCCCCAGAGTACCTTGAACACATGCCTGTAACATCACCTAATCAATTATACATGAAATGCCTTATTTTCTAGGACAAGAGCCATGACTTACTGTTGTTTCTCACTCCTGGCAAATGTTACTATCAGAAAACATCACAGTGGATGCTACAGTGCTTAAAGGGTAGTTTATGGACCTCTAGTATTTGCCAAATATCTATTAAGTACTTTTTTATTCTATTACCTTACATTAGCAAAACTTAAATTCTCTGTATTCTAAATTCTTGGCTGAAGTGGTAACTTATATGGCAAGTTTGGAGTTACTAAGGTGTGCTTATGTACATCAGTACTTTTTAAAAACTGTTAGTCATGGCTAGTAATCCTAAAAATGAAAAGGAATATAAAATGTCAGAATATCCCCACTACACTAAAGGTAAGTATTGCTGAAACTTTTGAGATATGTACTCCGAATTATAGATTATAATGTAAATGTATTTTTTCCTGTAAAATGAATTAACACTTATATCTCAACCCTCAAAATCATTCAGTGAGATAAACCAACAATGTCATGTTCCCTGCATCATACCATACATGAGTAAAATGACATTAGAAATCTCAAGTAGCTTTCCATGTCATAAAGTGGGTATGGAAGTCAGATGTTGAAATTCAGAAATTTAAACATTAAATCCTCTCTTCTTTTTACTCTTACACTGGTTACCAGCCTATGAAAAAATGGGGCTAGATCACAGATACTACAATCTGGTAGACAGCTCAAATTATAGCCTAGTAAGTACAAGATCTCTAAAGTAATTAAGATGAGCTACTGTCTATAGTGGTATAACACTTACATTCTTTTTGCTCATGACTCATAATTTATTTGTATTTTGCCCTGTAAGCACCTTGAGGGCAGGACTATTAACATTATAACTCATAAATTGCCATGTTTTGTGCAATAGACTGGTATTGAATAAATGAATGAAGAATAAAAATACTTACTATTTTTTTCTTGATATTGCCCCAGACAACACCACTTTTATGGTTTTTTTGCATACGAAAGACATATTTATCACAATCATCCCTGTTTGAATACAAAGTAATTTCAAGTCAGTCAACATGAATGACCATACATACTTTTATCCACAGATTGAACAGCAGTTGGCAAAAATTGTATTGAATCTTTAAGAAGTACATTTTCCCCATTTTTAAAAGATGAACACAACTATGGAGATAGACACAGACTTTAAACATTTTAAAAGTTTTACTTTGAAAATGATATCGTTTCCTTATTACTCATTGCCTTGTTTATATTTCCTGATTTGTCTTGCTGCCTCTTTCAAAATTCATTAAAACTCTGTCTGTGGATTCCTTTTTGTAACATCTTTGACTCCTTTTTCCTCTTCACTTGCTTTCTTATCCAGATTGAATCTTGAAGCTGATTACGGTAAGCTCCATCTGGTGATGAGAATCCACAACTTATAGCTACCATCTGTTTTGAGTCTTCAGTTTAATTCTATAGTTACTATCTTTGTTGTAAGACCCATGCCAACTATGAAATTTTAAATTTTCATGTATCTTATCTCTTTCTCCTCTCATTCGTAGCTAAAAGGCTTGCCTTAATTTATAGTTGAAACTGAAGCCAAACAGAATGGTGGTGTCAGCTTTCCCAATAAGTCATAGTTCTTAGGACAATAAAAAAACAGATGAACAAATTTAATCCTCTGTTGGCTTCAAAATCCTATGATTATTTCCTTTATGACTATTTGGAAGCAATCTTAAAGGCATCACTGGTAGAAGTTTGTAAATATGTGACTATTATTAAGATGCTAATGTGAACTATACATTGTTGCATGACAAGTGAGTATCTTAGCCAGTTGTTCAGGATCAGCACCTCCTAATAAGTCTTCCTGTATATAGAGATCACTTCTGAAGTAACAAAACTGATTTCATTATTTAAAATTGTATGAAAGGGAAGCCAAATAATAGTGCTAATGCAGCCAAGAAATAGTGAAGAAACCTAGGAAACGTTTTTGTTATTTTTTTTTAAAGATTTATTTATTTATGCATATAGAACTGGGTATAAGCCAGAGGTGCAGGGGCAGTAGAGGATTCACCAGAGAAAGAGTGGGGCGCAGAACAGGCCAACTAACAAGTACACTGCTGAGGGGAGCAGCGGGCGGGTCAGGAGAGGTCTGCCGTGGCATGTGGGTCACCTGCGGGGCAGGTATTGAACTCATGCAGAAGTGGCTTTAGCTTCTTAGTGCTGCGCTTTAACCTGCTGCACCACCAGGGAGGGCCCAGAAACTCTTTTTAAATAAGAGAACATCTAACTTTTACTTTATATTGGACATTTTACCATTATAGTAAATAATAATTTATTCACTAATTTCTATGACTACATAATATACCAGAATTTGATCAGTCCCTATCAATGGCCGTTGATTGTTGCTAATCTTTCACCATTAACAAACAATACTGCAATAAATAAGTACTACAAAAAATTCTAGAAGTAGGATCACTAGGTTAATGGGCAGGTCCATTTTTAATTGTGGTAACTACTGACAAACTACCTACAAAGATTGTACTAATTTACCTTCTCACCAGTAATGTATGAGATTGGCTTTTCTTTTGTTGATTTGTAGGAGTGTTGCAATAATGCAATAAGTTTTTTTCCCTGTGGTTAAATCTATTTATTCTTTTTCTCAAGTTGTTGGTTTGTTTTTGATTATAGTGGTTGTTACCATATAAAGCTTTTGTTTTTTTTTTTTAAAGATTTATTTATTCGTACAGAACTGGGGTAGAGGCCAGAGATGTGGAAGGTGAGAGGATTCACCAGGGACAGAGTGGGGAGCAGAACAGGCAGATTGATGAAGTACACTGCTGAGGGGAGCAGCGGGTGGGTCAGGAGAGGTCTGCTGCGCCATGTGGGTCACCTCCGGGGCAGGTATTGAACTCATGCGGAAGTGGCTTTAGCTTCTTAGTGCTGCGCTTTAAGCCGCTGCACTACCAGGGAGGGCCCTATAAAGCTTTATTTTTATATAGGATTGACTTTATTATTATTGTTGTAGGTGGCTTCTGGATCTTGCCCCATCGTTCCAAAGGCCTGCACTACTCTAAGATTGTAAAACCTCCAAGATTTGTTAAGGTATTTGTTTATAGATTATGTGTAATACTTTAAACCATTTGGAACCTAAGTGTGAGCTAATGAATAAAACTCCTATTTCCCGAAACTATCCATTCTTGACTTCTAGGAACTATTCTTATTTTTAGTGATGATTCTTCTCATTACTGACATCTACTTTCTTCAATTAATGAAATGTTAAGCACCGATGCAGAGAAATTACAGTATTATAGTATAAATACCTATTTATAGAGGCTAGCATGCCAGGGCTAACATGCTGACACTGAGGAGTTTTTGCCAGTGGAAAGATAACTGATGATGGAGGTGACGGATTTCTGTCCATGTTTGGCAGAATATCATCTTCTTCTTGACTATCCTGGAAACTTGGCAACTAGAAAGCAAATATTTATTAACATCAGGCAACACTAAAATGGAATTTCTCATTATCACAAAATGATTTTTGGTACACGGACAAGGTATTATTCCTTATAATTTTTCAACCAAGATAACTAAAAATGATAACAGGCAGAGGAGAGCCTTGGCCTCTAGAAAATAGTTTCATTTATAAAATGTAGACAGTGATGTCTTGCTAAGGTTTGTATAGGTGAGGTATTCAGTAAATGTTTTCTGTATGAAAACCAAAAGTAAATATTTAGGCTTTGTTTTCCATAAAGTCTGTCTCAACTACTTAACACTGTTGCTTCAGCATGGAAACCATCACAGTCAATATGTAAACAATGGACATATCTGTGTCCTAATAACGTTTTCTTTACAAAAAGAGGTGGAATGCTAAATTTGGTCCATAGGTTCTGTACACAGAACAAAACTAATCCTTTTACTACTTTTGCTTGGCCCATCGTAGAAACTCAGATAGCATTAAACTTGTGTGTACTTTGAACAAACAATTCAGTCATCAAGACTTTACTTACCTTTATATCAGAATCTTATAGAAAGTGAACATGCCTTAGAAAATGAACTAACAATCCATTGCTTTCGCTTTCTACTTTATTACCTTTGCTTTTAACACAATGTTGTTACTACATTTAGGCCAAAACATAATGAATGAAATGATTATCAAATAATATAAGGGTACAATTCCCCAAAGTCCATGTGTTATGTGGAAAACATAGTAAGAACTTCAAATGATTCCCTCAAAATATCTCCTTTTATAACCTATATAGACCAAAAAGGGGCCCAGGTTATATTACTAATTCTATGGTGTATTATATAGTCATTTGTGTATTATGTATGTGTATTATATAGTCATTTTAAATATGAGATGATTTAGCAACAATATTAAGAAATGGATGAAAAATGTAACCTTTAATACATACAAAAAAATCCTTTCTAATTTTGCAAATAATCTAGTTTATGTCCAACCATTTCTTGTTATTTTAACCTTAATATTCTGAACATTTATGTTTAAGTTTGGAAAGTCTCAAATTTCAATATGTTTATAAAAACACTCTTCTTGGGTCTATAGATTATAAAAAAGATCTGTAATTTAGAAGATATGTATTATTTATTTTCCTTTGATGATAGCTAAAGCAACTTCCCTATGTGTTCATTATGGCTTTTGAATTTTTCCTTGTCCATATTTCCTCTATAACCTTGACACTTACTTTTAGTGCAGTAAATGTTTGAATTAATTTATCATTTCACAAATATTACTCATCTTTAGACATTACAAATGTTTTATCCCAATCACTGAAAGTTTTACATGTGATAAAATTATTTATATATTTAAATCTGTTAATCTTCTGCTATTACTTAATCCCTCCATTCAATTTACTATACAGCAAATAATATTTTGTCATTTTTTTTTGAAGTTTGCCTAATTGCATGTTAAATTTTGAATGTACATATTTGGTCTATTTCTGAGTTTTCTATTGGATTCTACAAATGTTAACTTTGAACCCCAATGAATGGTACACTCTGTAATCCCATGAAAATAGCATATACTAGCAGATCATCACTTCCTATACTGTATTTTAGTCATGTCTTTGGAAGCTATCAATCCTTGGGCCCAAGTAGTAGGGATGAATATGGGCATATATAAAAATGGAATATAAAAGTCAATATAATAAACAAAACCTCCAAACACAAGTGCTTTCAAGTATTTAAATTTCTTACCAGTACTCTTTGATTCTGCAAAGGGGTTGTACTGAAAAAATCATCATGGTCATCCTTTGGCAACTGTTCCAGAAAATCCCTCATCTGCTGCTTCCTTTTAAGAGTTCCCACTCTAGCAGTTATCTTAACTATTTGTGTCTTAGCAGCATCACCTATTTTGCAGTAAGCACCAACAAGACAGCAAAACATTTTGATAAGAATTTTATGGTAGATACTCTACTTTTTTTAAAATCTAAATTGTGTATTACTATTAAACTTACTACTTACTATAATCTTAGCATCTACTGATACTAAAATACTAAAAGATACTAATATCTTGATACTAAGATATCAGTAGATACTAATTAGATATTAACAAATTTCATAACATGATTCTACAGTGAGATCTATGCAATATGATTAGTGGGGAAGACAGCAAGAAGCTACTTAAGATTAGGCAGGATGAGGTTGAAAATGCCTTTATCCTGTGAGAAAGAAAATTGTGGGTTATCTCCAACGATTCTCATTGCTGAATGTTGAACTTATTGATTTAGTAAGATATAATTACTTATTAGAAATAAATTTATAAAATAAAAGGATTACTGTACTCTGAAGCTTGGTATAGGACTTCTTTGACACAAACCCTTGGCAAGAGTTTGTATTCCTGGGGACTATAAAAACTAAATTTATTCTGAGTTTTCTTATGAATTACTAGGGGGCTTTACTAAGTGGCCTCAAATTAAATTAGATCCTTAGAACAGTTGACCAAATATTGAAATGGTTCCAACTGCAGTTTCCTAGTACATACTGAAAGCCCCTGGCTGCTAAGGCTTATGTTGAAGGAAGTAACTAACTAGGCAAGACTTAAAAAGTAAACAGGTGATCTTTAAAGTTCTTTCTAACTTTATAAGAAAACACTATAATAAGACACATGGATAAATATAAAATACACGTAGTGAGTAATTAGAAATTAATGATAACAAGGAAAAAACTACAAAGGTTACCATACCATTTCGGTTTTTGGGATTGACTGGCTTTTTCTCAGTGACATGTTTCCGCGATCCTTTTTCTCGGGGATTTTCTGTGTATTTCTTCTGGCATTCTTCAGCAGATCGAGACCCTACAGCCATAGCTACATCTGACCAAAAGCCAGGTTTGTGCTTTGGTAGAGATGTAAAAGCACTAAAGATCAAAAACAATAAAAGAACAAGAAATTCAAATCAATAAAAAAGAACATCCTAAATGCATAGCACTAAATGAATAAGATTTATTGAGCTAAGAACATCCTAAATGCATAGCACTAAATGAATAAGATTTATTGAGCTAAAGGAATTTTACCAAAACCATTCTAGATAATTATTCAGAAAGACAATTATCTGGAAAGAAAATACTACTCCTTCCATTCAATTACTCTAGTGCTTAAAATAGGAAGATCTACTTTTACAAATCTAGTAGATGTTTTCTATTTTTTCAGTCTTTTTTTAAACCTGCAAGATCATCCCTGTTCTTTCAGCATTTTTTCATGTCAAACTATAATCAATATAATTATATATTGTGGCTAGGCTAATAGTTTAGACTGAAAAGATCTATTCAATTCACCAAATAATATATGAAATATAACACTGGTAATTTAACAAACAACAATCCTGGGCTAAAAGTCCTGATTTGTAGTGTTTGCTAATTTTTACATTGGAAATATACCTCTTGTGGCTGACTTCAAGCAACTGATAACATTGTGGAATGTGGAATTTTTAAGAAATGTTCATAGCAAATGTTGCACGGAAATTCCATCATATAGATACAATAACTATTAACAGTCTTAAGAGCCTAAATAATAAAAAGTAGTAAAGTTCAAAAGTGATGTGATGTTTATTTGCTTTTAAAAATCTCATTTAATAAGTTTACAAATTTCATTTTTAATGACTTAAAAATTTGAAATCCAGAAAATTTAAGAATTTATGAAGATATAAGCCAACTATAAAACACCATTCATTCCATGCATAAAAGGAGACTTATTAACATCAGACAATTGATATTAAATGCTCTACTCTTATATAACTAACACTCCATAGGTATTCTTACGTGGTTTACAAAAGCCGGTTTTTGGCCCATGTAACATTTATTCTTGAGATCTGATTTTAAGTATCTGCCTAAGTTAAGTCAGGATTTCTGAGACACTTGTAAACTTCTTAAAGTTTTATTGCTAGTATCTGTCTGCCTTAGTATGTAATAAGCATGATGAGTGGCACAAAGCATGATGAATGGCTGCAACTGATAATCAAATAAAACCGTAAGTAAAATAACAAATATATTAATGAAAAGTTTACTTTTGCTTTCCTCTAGGTCCTAGAGGTGACAACAGAATGTTCATATGTAGTCGCAAGTTATGTGTTGTCTCTATCTAGCTCAGTAGCTATTACATAGGAGTTTACAGAGATACCAGAGTCATATCTACTTACCAATGGAGTTTCTGTAGCTCCTCCTCATTCCAGTCCTCACTTTGAATTACAGCAGGTGAATATTTTAAGGAATGGCTGTCCATCTTACCAGATCCCATCACCTCAATAGTTGGAAGCTTATTCCTAACACCAGATTTCTGCTGAGTTTCTTTAGCAGAACATCTGGCTTTTTTTGGTCTGATATGAAATTCATTTTCACTTTCTTCAGTTTCAGATTGAGAAGTCATTGGGATTTTCCTTGTGTTTGTTGTACTTTTTCTTAGCTGAATCACTGTTTTTCTGGTACTTCTTCTGACTTTTTTAATACCAGTTTTCCTTCTAATTTCCTTTTCTGTTTCACTCTCTTCACTAGACAAATTTGATGAAGATTCATGCTTATAAAATGACATAGTTACTTGATTTTTGATTTTCTTCGATTTTGGTAACAACTTGGGACTTTTTTTTAAGTCAGAAGTGATCATTTGTTCCTTTTTAGGCCCAATAGTGAGTATATCACATTCAGCGCAACTTTCCTTGTTTTCATATTTATGCCCCACACTGTACTCACTTGCATCTTCTAAAGACTCTGTGGGCTTACAGGTCATGTTTACAGTTTCATTTATTTCTGATTCACTTTCTTCCTGATGCCTTGGTACTACACAATCTGTTACTGCTTTAATGGTGCTAGAAGACAGATTATACTTCATGCATTTTTGCTCTATCACCTTTTTAGATTTAAGTGGTGTTACTAAAATATAAGCTTCTCTTGGATTAACAGTCATGTATTTTCTTCCTTTGTCTAAGAAAAACTGTTCACTTGAGGTTAGAATATCAATGGATACATTCAAATCTTCAATTCTTTCTTTAATTTTATAAGACAAAAATCAAAGATGAAAATCTCAAGTTAGCTATAATTTGAAAATCCACATACTACATAACTAAAATTTGCTCTTAACTTCATAAAGGGATGCAATTTCCAAACATGCCTATAATTACATATAAAATGATATATAAAATGTGACTTAAACAAAATTACTTACTTTAAAGGAGGCAAGCCTATTAAGTAAGTCACGTCTTTAAAGTAGTAAATATTTTATCATGCAAGTTATACTATGTTTAAAAAAACAATACCCTAGACATTTATAACCATTACAAGTTGCCCATTTAGATTTAGGAATTGACAAGAATGCTTTCATTGCATTAAAAATACATCATATTTAGAGATGGAGATGGTAAGATGGCAGCAGAGGAAAGATTCTGAGATCATTGCATCCAGGCTTGTGCAGGAATTTAGGACTGAAAACGGAGTACAGACATACATATTACGAGTTTCAGCCCAAATGAGAACACTGTGGACTCATTAGAATGAAGATAACTGAAGGAGAATTCGCAATTGGGCAGTTTCGATAAGAGAACTCCCTCGCGGGAGTGCTCAGGCACCTGGAAGTTTGGTGGGCTGCAGGAGCCACTCTGCCCCTCGCTAAAGCCCTGGAGGTGAAGGGGGATGGCTCAGCTCAGTGAGTAGAGCCCAGGCTGAGGAAAGGCTGCAGATCCATCTGGAGCATCTGGGCACTGGGCAAAGGCGCTGACAGATCAGCTCGGGAACAGATGGTGGCGGAGTAAAGACACCATGATGACTATGTCCAAGCTCATGCAGGAATATATGAAAATGGACGATAGACTTACATGCTACGAGTTACAACCCAAATGAGAACACCCTGAACTCACTAGGAGGATAACTGAGGGAGAAACGGTGATTGGGGAGTTCCAATAAGGGAACTCCTATCCAGAAACCCCACAGACAGGATTAGCGGAACCCTGCAACTCCAACTGGGGGAGCGCCCCGGCTCTAGTGCTGCAGAGGGAGGCTTCCTGCTCGTTCGGCTAGGTGAGTGGAACCCAAGCTATGGGAAAAGACTGCGCAAGTGGGCACATAGAGTCCAGGTGGTGGGGAGGAAAATCAGGTGATCTGGTAACTGGGGTAGCTGCAAGGCTTGCAACCCTTTCACCAACCCCCGACAGCATAGGCCTGGAGGCTTGTTCCCAGCATTAATCACTAAGGCAGAGCCAGAAAGTTCACAAAGCCCCTGAGATAAAAAAGGGGAGGAGGAAAATGGTTAGACTGAATCAAAACAGGCCCATTAACGCTCTCCCAAGTGGTAGAGAAAGACTACTCAGGGAGAGACGGCCTCTGAGTGGACACAAAGAGCCCTGGCATAGAGGGAGGACTGACAGCCTGCACAACAGGGGGGCGTGCAGAGTTAGGACTTACGGGACTTACGGTATTACTGAACAGCAGTGGCCGGAAGACGTGTAAGCCAGTAAGGCACTGCCTTGCAAGGCTCACAGTGCCCAAAAAATAAACAAAACCAGTGACTGGCTCAACATAGGTCCAGCTGCAACACTTCTAATGCACGTCATCCCCCACAGCTGCATCCAAACATAGAGGGAAAGCTACAAAGATCAACAGGCACCTTCCAGAGACAAGGACTCAATGAGTTACCAGAAGAAGCTGAACACCGTAAGAGACCCCTGAGTGTCACTGGCAGAGATGACAGACATAATTCCACACAGTAGGGGCTGGAAAAAACAGGAGATATTGAAACAAAACAAGCCTCAAAATACCCTCCACAACTGAGGTATCTGGAAGTCCTTCTGCCATCCCAGAAAGAACATCCAGAAAGAATGCCGGTCAATAATAGCAACACTGTCTCAATGAATAGAAAGGATTAGAAAACACACAACAGAGAAAAGAAGACAAATATTCAAACAAGTCCACAGAGGGAAAATTCACCAGAAAAAGATCAGTCAGCAGAAACCACTGAAGAAATGGAAGAACTGCTCAGCCTACCAGATAGGGAATTCAGAATCATCATAATAAACAAACAAAAGATGAGAAGGAAAACATTTTCTCATCTTTTGACTACAAAAGTAGTGATAAAGGACTGATCACAAAAATATACGGAGAACTGACGAAACTCAACAAAAATAAACAACCCCATCAAAAAATGGGCAGAAGAGCTAAAAAGATACTTCTCCAAAGAGGAAATGCAGATGGCCAACAAGCACATGAAAAAATGTTTAACATCACTTGCAATAAGGGAGAAGCAAATTAAAACCACAATGAGATACCACCTCACCCCAGTGAGAATGGCACATCTTCAAACAAGTAGCAACAACAAATGTTGGCGAGGATGTGGAGAAAAAGGAACTCTCCTGCACTGCTGGTGGGAATGCAAAGTAGTACAACCACTATGGAAAAC